AATGAAACTTGGTGTATAGATGCTCTAGGCTAATGCGCAGATTTGATTAGGTTTTTGGTTGAAATCCATACATATTAATTACCTGATTTGCATGATAATTCGCTATTTTCAGGTGTTCTTTGACTGTTCCACTGATATCTAAAGAGCCATTCATTAGATTTTGATGAAACTTGGTACATAGATGCTCTGGACTAATGCACAGATGTGATTAGTTTTGGGTAAAAATCCATGCATAAAATTAACCTAATTTGCATAATGATTAGTCAATTTTCAGCTTTTCCACTGATATTTCAGGTACTAATCATCACATTTCAATGAAACTTACATAAATACATATGACGGTGTACAGACAGATATGTGAAATTTTAATTACCTAATTTGCATAATTAATCAATTTTCAGCTTTTGATGTTTCAAGTACTATTACTACATTACTTTTCAATGAAACTTGGTACATAGATGTTCTACAACAATCCAAAGTAAAAATGTGAGCATATTAATCAACTAATTTGCATAATTAGTTAATTTTTGGCCTTTACACTGATATCGCAAATATTATTTATCCCATTTCAATGAAACTTGGTACATTGATGCTCCAGAACAATGCACAGACTCATTCAGTTTTGGGTTAAAATCATAATAATTACCTAATTTGCATAATAAATCATATTTTTTGGTTCTAATCACATTTCAATGAAACTTCGTACATACATGGTCTGTGACAGTACTTATCTTAAATCAATGAATCTTGGTACATATGTACTTTAACACAATGTGATGATCAAATTAGTTTTAGGTTTTTAGCTCCGCTGTCGACTTTGTCGAGCGGAGCTTATCATATGAGTGATTGTCCATCGTCGTCCGTATTTTTTACCTTTTCGACTTCTTCTTGAAAACTACAAGCCTGGAATGCTTTGATACTTGGTATATATGTACCTTGGGTAGACCTCTCTCAGATTTGTTCATTTCATGATGATATCTTCAATTCTCTAATTTTGGTGAATATTTTTGGTAAAAAGTGATATTTTTGCTTCTTGTAAAAAACCGCAAGTCCGATTACTTTGATAATACATATATAGGTACTATATGTGGATCTCTCTCAGATTTGTTCATTTCGTGATGATATCTTCAATTCACTAGTTTTGATCAATATTTTTGGTAAAAAGTGATATTTTTGACTTCTTGTTAAAAACCGCAAGTCAAATTGCTTTGATATTACATATATAGGTACTACATGTGGTCCTCTCTCAGATTTGTTCATTTTGTGATAATATCTTTTATTCTCTAATTTTAGTGAATATTTATTTTCGTCATTTTTGGTAAAAAGTGATATTTTCGACTTCTCGTTAAAAACTGCAAGTCCGATTGCTTTGATATTACATATATAGGTACTACATGTGGACCTCTCTCAGATTTGTTCATTTCATGATGATATCTTCAATTCTCTAATTTTGCTTAATATTTTTGTCATTTTTGGTAAAAAGTGATACTTTCGACTTCTTGTTGAAAACCGCAAGTCTGATTGTTTTTATATTACATATATAGGTACTATATGTGGACCTCTTTCAGATTTGTTAATGTCGTGGCGATATCTTCAATTATCTAATTTTGATGATTATTTTTGGTGAAAGGTGATATTCTTGAATTCTTGTTGAAAACAGCAAGTCTCATTGCTTTAATACTATACATATTGTTCATTTTCTAATGATATCTTCTGTTCTTTTATTGAAATATGCATTGCTAACAGCGGAGCTATCTTGGCCGACTGGCTGCTTGTTATGCATCTATAATAATTACCTAATTTACATAATAATTTACTTTACAGCTTTCCACTGATTTAGTTAGGATTAATCATCATGTTATAATGAAACATTGTACATGCATGCCCTGAAACAATATACAGACCTAAATCTATGCATAATAATTGCTTAGTTTGTATAATAATTCATTTGGTTCATTGAGGTAATCCATAGACATGATTAGTTTAATGTTGATAAACATGAATATTCATTATCTATTATTCGCTCATTTCTGATATCTAAAAAAATTAGATTTAAATTGAATTCATCGCAGATACTCCAATACTCTCAGCACACGGGAGTTCTTTCTAAGCTTTCTTTGATTTTTAATTGAAATCCATGCATATTATTGACCTAATTTGCATATTAATTAGTCAATTTTTAGCTTATTCCACAAATAAGTCAACTACTCATCAGATTTCAATGCAACTTGGTATATGAGCGCTCTGGGTTAAGCCATGTAAATTATGTGCTCAAATTTGCATAAATTAATCAACTTATAGTGTT